TTGACGATGGCTGAGAAATGTGGGTGATCAGTGGCTGCAGGCTGCATTCGGGGAGGCTCTTTCCAACAGCACCTGCGCTCCGCTCCCCTGGGCAGCACCATCACTAGGATGCAGGGAGTGGCTGGAGGTGACATTCGAATGGCAGCCATGCCGGGGGTGGGGGGTCTGAGCCACTCGCTGGGCAGCTGGCCCAGCTTTCCTCAACCTTGGCCAGGGGCATCCTCCCACCTGCCTATGCTGGGTGCAGCATAGCTGATCCCCAAGCTCCTCCAACACCAGCCCAAGCAGGGGCCCTGGACCCTGGATCACAAACAGCACGTTGGCACCTCCACCACTAACTTCTGCCAACCCAAGAGCACAGTGTGGGCATTTATCCCTCTCTGGCAGCTAATGTGGCTAAGAGCCTTCTTCTGCTGCCTGCCCAGATATCTGCTTCTTTAGCTCAAGCAAGAGAGGCTGGTGAGTTTAGTGCTGAAGGTCCTAGATTCAAACCAGTGGTCCCCAACCTTTTCCATGGGGCGGGCACCGGACGACTAGCCGCCGAGGACTGTGGCCGCCGGACAAGCAGCCGCCGAAATGCCGCCATGAAGCGGCAACGTCAAGAGGCATCGCCGCCGAAATGTTGTGGCATTTCGGCGGTAGTGCTTCATGACGTTGCTGCTTCTCGGTGGCATTTCGGTGGCTGCTTTTCCGGCAGCCAGTAGGTGGGCGCACATGGATGCCCTGGCGGGCACCGCGTTGGGGAGCCCTGATTCAGACCCTGCTGACAACACAGGAAGGGGTGGTGACATCTCTATACTGCGTGGGCCTGATCTCTCATCCTGTCCCTGTCAGCGAGGCGTTTGTCCTGGTTTCTGTACCCCCCAAGTCTGTGATGCTGGCTGCTTGCCTCACAGACCATCCCACCAAGCCTGTCATCTTGCCCTTCCACTGCAATGAGCCCTCTCTAGTATCTGTGCTGTTAGAGGATGACAACCTACTACTGCTGTCAGTTAAAAGCATTACCCCTTTAGCTCAAGTGGCAAAGGCCTGAGCGTAATGCTGAAGGGTCTGGTTTCAAACCCAGCACCTGCCCTGGTGTTTCTACTTTTATAATCCCCCCCCCCTTCCCCAAAGCCAGAGGGAAGCACCAGACCATAGTAAGGTCCAGAAGACAAGAGAGAGCCCCTTTGTGGGGATGTGCATATGTGAAATAACTGATCAAGCCAATGTGTGGGGATTGGCAAAGCTGCACACAACCCCCCTAGGTTGCTCGTATCTGGGGCCACAGCCCCCCCCCGCATGGCTGCCACACACCAGACTCAGACCCCACCTGGCCCGGCTGCTGCCATACGAATGACTCTGATCCTCGCCTGGCACCCGTGCTGTGCAAACAGCTCCATTCCCGGGTGCACGTTGCTGCTGAGCAAAGGGATTTACGCTGCCCGCCTGCCAATGATTCAGGCCTCAGACTGGCACATCAGCCCTGCAACCCACTAACCCTCCCTCTGTACCCAGGGGCTGCCGCTACCCGGCAGTCAGGAAAGCCCTGGCTGTCCAAACGGCACTGGAGTGGAACCGGGGCTGCTCCGCAGGGATCCCCTCCCTCCCCAGCCGCGTGTGTGCGCCAATTTGTGAATGAATCTCAGCTGCAAGCCGAGGCCGCCCACAGCCTGCGTTTGGCTGGGAAGGATGCCTGCCAGGCAGGAGGGGCGTGGGGCGAGGCTCCGCAGGGGAAGGGAGCAGAGCCGGGGCATGCCGCGACACAGCCCGGGCGGAGCAGCCCGGGGGATCGCGCCTGGCTGCCCTGCGCTGCAAGCGGAAGGGGCCGCAGTTCTCGTGCTCAGCCGGAGCCGGGCGCCCCGGGACCCCGGGCTACAGGGGATGCCCCGGCGGGGGCCGGCCCGGCGGCCATGACCCCCCCGCAGGTGCTGAAGGAGGGGGTGCTGGAGAAGCGCAGCGGGGGGCTGCTGCAGCGCTGGAAGAAGAAGCGCTGCCTGCTGACCGAGGAGGGGCTGCGGCTCTTCGAGCCCGGCAGCTCCCGCTGCAAGGAGCTGGGCTTCGCCCGCATGCGGGCGGTGGAGTGCGTGGAGTGGAAGCGGCGGCACGTCTACTTCACCGTGGTGACCGACAGCGGCTGCGAGATCGACTTCCGCGGCCCGCGGGAGGAGCCCGGCTGGAGCGCGGAGATCGGCCTGGGGCTCGTGCGCTTCCAGAACCGGCTGGCCATGCAAAGTGTGCGGGCCCGGCACGGCGCCAGGGCGGGTGAGCCCGGGCCTGACACCGGGGGACGGGCGCCCTGGGCTGGCCCAAGGGCAGCGGGGTGAATCCGGGGCTCAGCCCGCGGTTCCTTGCGTTGGAACTGGCTTGTCCCCGAGGAAGGAAACTTCCCTAGAGCAAAGGGCTGCCCAGAGAGGGGGGGGGGTCAAATGGGGCAATTTGCCCCAGGCCCCCACGAGAATTGCAACTTGTTTTTTATGGAAGGGCCCCCGAAATTGCTTTGTCCCAGGCCCCCTGAATCCTCTGGGCAGTCCTGCTAGAGCATGACCCCTGGAGGATAACAACTTACCGCTACTACCAGCCAAAGGGGCCACTCCTTCAGCTTGCCCGAGAGGGGTCTCTGCTGAGTCTTACCTTCACCCCCTGCTGGTGCCGGGTGTTACCCTGCCCACGCCAAGGGTGATGTGCCAGTCAGCTTGCCCTTCCCAGAGCCATCCCAGTCCTCTGTCTCCAGGCCCCGCTTTTCTCTCCCTGTTTTCACTGTGGGGCCTATTGCCTGATTTCCTGGGGTGCCCCCAACTCTCCTGGATTTCAGGGGGAGCTGCGGGTGCCGGGCTGGGTGCTGCATGTATTTACACTGTGCCAGTCGGGGTCTAGGCTCCCCCAAGGGCCCCTGAGCTGCTGTTTCCATGCCCGGGTGGGGATGAATTTCAGTGCCTCTGTCTGGCCTGGCAGGATGATCCCACCACAGCAGCACTGGGGAGGGGCAGGGGGCAGGTTGGGAGAGGTCCAGGCACAGATCGTGTCTCCCCCGAGTGCCAGGCACTGCCTTGAGCTCACAGGGTTTCTGTAGCCTTTGCCTGGAACCTGTCTATGGGCTGATGATCCACTAGCAGAGTCACCCCTCTCCTTGTGCCAGAGCCCTGCTACAGGAGCCTTCCTTCCTTACCGTAATGCTGCTGCCCTGGGATCTCAGCGGGCAAGCCCGGTTGTTTCAGGACTGTGTTGCCAGTGCCCTAACCCCTCCCCCCTGCTTTGGAGATGATGTGCCAGGTCCCACTGCCTGCCTCCTGGGCATGCTCCAACCTGGGCAGGTGCTGGGACAGCTGCAGATCCCCTTGGCTGGAGCAGTCCTGAGCTCCATGGTGGATTGGAGTGTCGGGGAGAGGTGGGTTGGATGGGAAGCAGCTGGACCTGGCTCCTAAACCCTGCTCCAGCATGTGCGCCAATCCCCTGGCTGATTTCCACAGTGCTGTTCAGGCACTTGGCACTGCTTCCATGGGGGATTGGGGCTGGGAGAGCTGATCCCTCTGCCCGGTGAGTGGGGCAAGGCTCCCGCCCCCTAGGCTAGTGACAGCATCCCCATGATGGGAGAGGTCCCCTCCCAGCAAGCCCTGGCCCTCGGGGTGGCCATGGTGACCATAGCGCTGCTGCTGTGGAACTTGGAGCTCTCAAGCTGGAAAACACCCCCGGGTCTCTTCTTTGCTCCCACAGCCCCAAAGCAGGGCTCGATCCTGCAGGGTGCCTGGTAGCCCAATTCTCCACTACCCCCTTCCTGTGTTTGGGGCAGGGAGGGGGGGCTTCAAGCCACCTTTGCTCTCCCCCTGTTCTGGGCCTGGCCTGGGCTCTCCATCTGTCCTGGCTCAGGTAGAGCAAGCAGTGGCTTGTATCACAACCCTGTGTGCCCCCCTCTCAGCTCCCTCCTCTGGCCTGAACCCAAGCTGGGGCCAGATTCCCCCAGATGTAAATAGGTGGAAAGCCCCCATACACTTCCCCAGAGTCTATCTCACTTACCCCAGGTCTGAGCTGGGCCCCTCCATGCCCAGATGAACTCCCAGGTGCCCATGCCAGCCAGTCCCCTGGCCCTGAATTGGGCAGCCACCCTCGCTAACTGGTGCATTCCCTTTGGCAGCGTTCCAGTACGACCCGGCCCCGAGCGGCCAGGCCACAGACCCGGAGGGGCTCAAGGGAAGGACGGGGATGGCGGAGGGGCACTCGCCCGCCAGCGGGGAGAACGGAGTCCCTGGCTATGAGTGAAAGTGGAGCCCTGGCTTTAAGAGGGACAGCAGGCGTTTCAGCGCCAAAGGCCCGATGAGCCTGGACCGCGTGTGCCGCTAGCTGCTGAGAACCGCCCCCCTCCCTGCTGGGCCATTCCTGCTTCCCAACAGCCATAGGCGGCTGCATCATTCTCCAAGCGCTCCGTATAGCTTGGCCCAGGGATCCGGGGCCCACTGGTCCAGTCGAGGGCCTGCAGGAGAGGCAGGAAGGGGAGCACCTGGGGGATAAAAGCAAGAACCAAAGCAGGATTGTTTTGCGCTTCATCAGCCTGCTGCTGGCTGGACGTCAGAAGG